TTTTGTTTGTTCTTGTAGTACCCTCCCTTGTAACGAGCCTCAATCCTCAGAGTTTGAACATGGCAGCTACTTTTTTCACCTTCCAATTTGTGATTCTATAATACGTACTGTCAGCTAAGTTTGGTGCAGTTTAAAGAAAACAACAACCGAAGGCACCAACCAATGTTCTAGAATATAGATTAATAATTGTTTTTAGTATAAAAAATAAAATTTGCTCATGCCAGCCACACAATTCTACTACAACTACTCTCGTTGTAATCGCATATATTGACTATCACCCAAACCGCAAGAAAACAACATGCACAGCCGTCTCAAACTCAAAGCGTCCCAACCTCCATTTCTCTACATCTGTCAATCATTGCCACCCACAACCCCAACCTCCGCTACACCACCATCTTCATCATCAAATGATCCACCCCTTTTATTAAAAAAAAAAATAATAATAAAAAATCCAATATTATATGTTAGATAATCCTCCATAGAAATTTTATTTTCTTCTGGGTCCCACCTTCTCCATTAGTCAACCTCCACAGCCTCCTTGCTCTACAAACAAACCCACACGACACGACTCATTCAAACCCCTCAACTATATTCATTCTCTCTTCTTCCCTCTATCTCTCTGTATTCAAAGCTCATGGAGTAGAGCCAACCCTTTTCTGCCTTTTCCAGCAGTTTCTGCTTCTCTTTGAACAGCAAACCCTAAACCCTAAACTAGTAGTGATTATGAGTTTCAACCATGCCGCCTTGTTGGCGTGGACGCTCAGCTTCCTCCTGTTCTCGCAGCAGATCACAGCCCAATCCGCACCGCCTCCGCCGCCATCCAACAACTCAGGCGGGCCGAAGTTCGACATCAAGATGGCCGTGGTGATGGTGGTCCTGGTCGTCGTCTTCTTCATCCTCGGCTTCTTGTCCGTCTACACCCGACAGTGCGCCCAGACCCGCCTCCAGGGGAGCGTGGACCTTGCGCTCCGCAACGGCATGGCGCGTGGACTCGACCCCGCCGTCATCGAGACCTTCCCGGCTTTCCTCTACTCCGACGTCAAGGCGCTCCAGCTCGGCCAGGACTCGCTCGAATGCGCCGTGTGCTTAAACGAGTTTCAAGATGACGAAACGCTGCGTTTGATCCCAAAATGCGATCACGTGTTCCACCCGGATTGTATCGACACGTGGCTGCTCTCTCACTCCACTTGCCCAGTTTGCCGGGCCTACCTGGTTCCCAAGCCGGGCGAAGAGCCCTACACTTGGGTTGACCCGACTGACCCCGATATCGAATCAGGGCAACCTGATGCAGGCCCGTGTACTGTGGATGAACAGCCACCACCGCATATGCCACCCCGCCAGGTGTCAGTTCGGGTGGTTGAAGATCAAATCAAAGAGGAAGAATCTCAAACGCCAGTGGTTATTAATTTGGTGAATGTGAGTGAAGGAACCAATCAAAGAGGTCCACCTAGGTCGAGGTCAACAGGTTTTAGACCGCCGAGGTCAGGATCAACTGGGAGGCGATTCACTGGAATTTTATTTCCAAGGTCACACTCGACCGGTCACTCGTTGGTTCGACCCGGCGAGAACGTCGAGAAGTTTACACTACGATTACCAGACGAGGTACGAGCTCAGCTCATGAACTCGGCCTTGATTCGTAGCAGGAGTAGCAACGTGGCATTCCCAAGGGCTGGGAGTACAAGGAAAGGTTTCAGGAATGACAGCGAGCGTGGAAAGAGCCCCAATTTGTATGAGCGGTTCGAACCAAGCTCAAGGTCAAACCGGGCGAGCCGGTCAAGCCGGTGGGGTTTCTCAATGATGCCACCTTTTGTATCTCGGAACGGTTCTGTTAGGAACCAAATTGGTGATAATGACGTGGCAACCCAGTCGGCAGTTGCTCCATCGGAATCGAAGAAATCACAGTTGGCTCATATTGACGGTGATGATGATGAACGGTCAACTGATGCCTTGCGGAGAAAAGATCAGGTTTAAAATATGTAGCAGCTTAAATTTGCCTCAACTCAAATTTTGTGTACATATTTATTTAAATTTGTTTCTTAAGATTTTTTGTTCAAATTGTGAGACAAAACATGTAAGAAAATTATGTGATACCTACAACACTTATAAACATTGAATTAGTTGTGTGATACATACGATTAGAGTTATCCGCACAAAGTGAAGAATAAAGTAGTTGGAGGACGGAGAGTTTGTGATTAATGTATGTAATGACCATATCACTCTTAACTTGTTTTTTTTTTTTTTTTTTTGGTCTAAATCATGAGGTGGTTCTGGATGGGCTCCAACTATAGGTGGCACCTTTAAGCCTTAACCACAACCCAGACTAATCCCCACTCACACCGGGTCGGCCCGTAAGGGGTAAAGTGTTGGCCAAAGTGGTGACTCCGTACGAGAGTAAGGATCGAACCCCTGACCTCTCTTAAGGAATGAGAGTGCCGAACCACTCACACCAACCACCTTGGTTACTCTTAACTTGTTTTTATTTATACAAACGATATTTTATGTTAAATTAATCTAAACTATGGAGAGAGGAATTTGAAAATGGGTGCAGAATGGGGAGCACATCCGCTTTAGCCAACTTAGCTAGGCCCATATATGCCATTAATCATATAGTTTTAATTAAGAATTGGTGGTCTTCTTTGATTGCTGAGCTGAGCTTTTTTTTTATAATTTTTATATCCAGAGAAGAGAATCCAACCTTATCAAGTTTATATCAATATGTGTTGAAAGTCAAAGTGTATGCCAAACAACTTTAAAACTACATTTGTTTTCAATCGCATTTACAAATTAATTAAGAAACGACATTAAACGAATGAGACTTCGATGTAATCCAAGTTGCGTATGTCTGAAAGCGAACGGACCCTGCAAGCGATCATCTGTTTTTAGCTTTGTTTCAACTCTTCAAGTCATTATCTAATTTCCAAACGTATGCGATGACTGATTAGGCATGTGAGGAATATACTATGTTTCTTGTCATGCTCAATACCTTTTTTTTCCTTTTTAAATCAACTTAAAAATGGAGATTTGAATTTGTAATTTTCATTGACATTAGAAAGAGAACTACTTGTACCATTAGACTAAAAACTAATTTGTTCTAACACGACGTTGAGGGAGTCTTCCTCGCCCCGCATTTCTCCAAAATTCATGATGGCCTTTTGTCTTATGTTTTACTAGTCTCTCCGCACGCGCTTCCACGCCTATGATAGGCTTTTTTTAAAAAAATTTAAATTTATTTTAGAATTAAAAAAGATAATGAGTAGTTGTGTTTCATAAAAATAAGATCCATTATCTGATTTTTATTTTTATTTTTATTTTTTTAAATATGAAAATGTGTGGACCATCCTCATTTAATTAATAATTTCAATTCTTAATGTTTGCATTAACTAAATGCATTTTCTGGTATTTTGAATGTTTCACCATTCTTTGCCTTTTGCTTTATATATATGGATACTAACATCACGAACCTTGTCTTTTAAATTGCAATTTATCGACAAATAGAGGAACCATAATATATATATATATATTTTTGAACAAAAGTTTAGTGGGAGGGGAGACTACCTCATCCCAAGGCCAGAGCATATTATGGCCTTTTTGAGGACTTACAGAGGGGGTTTTAGCCCCTTTTTTAGTTTTTACAAATTACCTATCAAGATGGATTGTTGGCAGCGAGACTCAAACCTAGACCTTGATAACGAAGATAACTATCCTTACCAACTCAACCAACCTTCGAAGAACCATAATATTTGAATGTGTAAAACATAATGAAATACAAATACAACCCTACGATAAGATAAAGGCTGAAGGTTCCAAAGGAGATTTTTTTTTTTTAAAAAAAAAAACCCATTTCGGCGGCCCCAATCTTACCATTATGGGCTCTACCCTTCAATTTTGGCCATTTGTAACTGTATTTCCTACTTGGTCCCATTTCTTTTGTTATGGTGCCAATTTTGGTCGATACCTGGACGGTCTTATATATGGTCGCTCATATTCTGATCCATCCGTGATATTCCATTTGTCAATCGAATTTATCTTCTTTCTTCATCAGATTGTTTTGCTCCTAATCTTATCTTTATTTCCTCCAACCGAGCTTCTAAGATTTTCACTTTTTAGTTTGTGGTATGTTCCTCCCAATTGAGGTGTAGTTTCCTTGTACGTGAGGCCTCATGTATATGTCTCTTTTGAAAATCACCAATCTATAACTCCAACTTTATTCCCATAAACGATGTCAAACTGTTTGATAAAAATTCGTTAGAAACATATTAGTCAATTTTGTCAGACGAAAACGATTGAAATTAGGCAGGTTCCCTTCTAGGCTAAGAAAGACCGATGTTGATATGTTAGAATGAAAGGAGCTACATAATATGCATGTGAAAAACCTAAATAAGATACTTGTCGTCGCTTTATAGGACTATTTAAGAGGAGGAAAAGTCCATATATACATGCCATTGACCTTAAGTTACCTTTTCATATATAGGTATTTTACATAGCTATTGGTACCATTTCAGATGCTATATATCAATTTGTTTCGATGATCTCATCTCATCATGTTTCTGGATTCAACATCCAAATATTTGATTCTTGAATCCTTAGAGGTTGTATCTCTAGTCGGAAATCAAAACAATTTAGCGAAGATATATAATTTATTTTTTAAGATTTACAAAGATCAATATTAATGCTTTATCATTTTTCTTTGTGGTAGACTAAGCACGATTAAACATCTAATTGGACTTTGGACTAAGTCAATGAATCCTATAATGGTCTACTCAAACATTAACACTATAATGGTCTACTCAAACATTAAAAATATGAAAGTATAGCATACTCGCAATTGCAGATTTGAATCTTTCAAAATAATTAAGGAATATATACGGAAGAGAAAGAATCCAAGTAGACAAAAGGGAGAAAAACTTCAATAAGTATTTTTAGTCACGTGTCGAAATAAATGACAAATACGGTTCAATTAAAATTTATCATGCGTTACATAATCTTAATCTTAAAAAAATTAAGTGTCAGAAAAGTACCCACTGTAACATTTGCGGACAACGGGACGCATATAAACCAAAAACATTTACCTTATATCTAATTCTAGGTAGCCTTTCTCGCAATACAGATTACAGTTACACGTATATTATCTGTAAACTGTTCTATATTTACGCTGCCATAAAAATTAGATTTATATTTATTAATTTATTATACTCAAAGCGTTATTCGCGCTCCAACTTACACATAAGTGTAAGAACACACTTAAAAAGCGTTCAAGCCTCTCTTCCCATACGGTAAAAAGACATGCACAGTTTGCACACACACACGGACACCACCAAATTACGAAACCGCGTTTACCTGTCAATTTATACCCTCCGGCCTTTCCGAACTCCCTCTTCATACACTTTTCCAATCAATTTTGTCCATCTTCCATGGCCCGTATCAAACTCATCGGCGTTTTGAAAGACAAAGTCTCGATCCTCAAGGCCACTCTATACATCAACCGCCATGCCTCGTCAGTGCACGTTGCCGTCCTACGCGCCACCACCCACCACCCGTCACGGCCGCCTTCCGAGGAGAAGATCGCCTCCGTGCTCGCCCTTGGGCACTCCTCACGTATCACTGCGTGCGCATGCATTGAGGCGCTCATGGACCGCCTCCACGTAACGCAGAGCGCATTTGTTGCCCTAAAGTGCCTCTTGACCCTCCACAACATTATAGCGAAAGGCTCATTTATTCTCAAAGACCAGCTTGCTTATTACCCTTCTTTTGGGGGACACAATTTCTTGAACCTCTCTATGTTTTCTGACAATTCTGATTTAGCCATGTGGGAATTTTCTTCTTGGGTTAGATGGTACGCCGGGGTTGTTGAGCAGAATTTGATGGTGTCTAGAGAAATTGGGTATTATCTCAACTCATCGAAGAAAGATAAAGAAGAGAAGGCACTTGCGTTACTGGACTCGGATTTGGCAGTGGAGATTGAAGTTCTTGTAGAATTTGTGGTACGAATTTGCGACGCACCAAATTCTTTGGACCTTCAGAGGAACAATTTGGTTTATGAGGTTGTACGAGCTGCAGGGGAAGATTACAGGTCTGTTCAGCGAGAAATCTTGGCCCGAGTGAAGGAAGTTGGGGACAGAGTCGACTCAGTCGAGGGAGTGAATTCTGATGAGTTGATTCAGTTGATTGACGCGTTGGAGAGGCTGGAGGGTTGCAAGGGGAAGTTGATGCTGTTGTTTCTAAACAGGAAGAGGAATGATGGGTTTTGGGATACGGTTCGGGAGACCAAGGCCATGCTTGTGGAGACGAAGAAGAAGAAAGAAGAGAAGAGCCTGGTGAGGTTTGTGGGGAGGGACGAGTCGGCCGAGTCGACGCAGTTTTGGAACCCATTTCTTGAACCAGGACAGTTGTTGCTGTTGCCATCTGGTGGTGGGTGGTTGGATTTTGGCCCAACCCCAATAGCGGTTTGAAAAAGTAGATTATTGGACCGGGTCGGGTTTTTGTAGTGGTGCAACTTTCTAATTATATGTGAATTATGCTATTTAAAATGAATCACTCGTACGTAAATGTTTCTAGATTGAACAAAAGATTTATCTTTTTCATATAATTGAAAAAGAAAAGATTTATCTTTTGTCTTTTTGAGAGTTTCTCCAATAAGAATTTAAGTTAAGGATTAGTTTACATATTTTTATTCTTGGCTGTTGAATTGCATTCATTAGATGTATTGTTAGATTTAATATGCAACATCCAAGCAATCCAACGGTCAAGATTAGAAATATGTAACTAATCCTTAACATAAAATACTTATTGATCTCTATATATATGGTTTGGTTTTTGGTGTGAAGTGTGAATCCATATTTGATGTCACAATTTGAACAATGTGAATGTGAAATTGTGATGTATGCCGACATAATGGTTCAAAGACTTTCTTTTTTTATTTGTGGGGATAATAATAACAAAGGTGGCTTTGTTGTTATTGGACAAAAACTTCCATTAGGTTTGTTTTTTCTTTGGAGAAAAGTTTGGACAAAAGAGAAAATGAAATTTTGAGCTAGGTTTGCATCAACCCAAATTTGGGTTTGATTTTTCTCATGGATGCTTTTGCATATTTTAGTCTTTTTGTAGAGAGGAGGTTGATGGGTTACCTCTGTCACGTCTTTGCCAAATGCATCAAAGTTAAGATTGATGTTGATTGTGTTCTCATCTAATTAGTTTGTTTGTGGATGAGCTCAGGCTGCTATGATTTGTCTTCTTTGGACGGCAATGTTTTATAAATGCCCTGGCCAAGCTATTGCAATGACCTTTATTTTGGAGGGTCATTGTTATACTGATTCCTTGGTTACTGTTCGAAAACTTAGCTTAATAATCACTTAAATCGCATCCATGTGGCTTGCATTTTGCACAACATTGCAAAAAATAAAACAGTTACCAAAATGTAACCCATGTCGAGGGTTTACCACAGTTGTTGCGGCCCTCCCTCTTTCTTCCTGCTTGGCATCCAGGATCAAAATTCCAGGATTTTTTTCCTCCCAAAGTAACCAAAAAAAAAAAAAAAAAAAACCAAAATGTTGGGAAAATATGGGTTTGATGGGAATGGCAAGACAATTTTATGTTAATCTATTCTGTTTTTTCTTGTGCTGCTTGAAATTGAGTAAGCTCACAGTGTGTGCATGTAGCGATAAGAATCAAATATGCTGTTATTGTTGTTCCTCTGTTTGATCATCTGGGTTAGGAGTTGACCACTTATTTACACGCTGGCTGGCCTCTTGAGCCTGCACAAATTGGTCAACCAATATGGTATCATAAAATGTTAGCTTCAGCTTCCCTTAATTCTTCTTTTATTTCTTCTGGTTGAAAGAAATAAGTGGACTTCTTTTTTTTTCTGTGAAAAGAAATGAGTGGACTTTTATGTTCGAATCATACCTCCTTTTCCCAATCACGTCGTGTTGTCACGATGGCCAACAGCACTGTTTGGACAGCAGTTCCACCAAGGATCATCCCACCCCATATACCCTGATTTTATAAAGGAAAAATTCCACAAGCATACTGAGATAATGTAGTAAATTAGTGCTTGAAAGAGCTCATTACAAGTGTATATATTATATGAATGAAAACACCCAAAATTAGGAGCCAAACATACCATAACACCTAAGTTGGCGACCCATCCCATTACAAATCCAAGTGGGAGCCCAATAATGTAGTAGCAGAAAAGATTTATATATGCCACCCATGCTTGCCAACCTGAGCCCACAGCCACTCCTGTAAAATTAAACACCATCTTTTAATACCAAGGAAAAAACCCTAACATTTTAGGCATCGCAATATTCAAGTTAAGCACTGAACGATCGATAACTGTTGATTTAGGTGAAACCCATAATGAGATTCGCATATATATATATACAATGAACAACCATCCATATACATATAAGTAACTGTCGTATTTTTTGGTAAGTAAAGACATCATATACCTACGACTAATTTGTAGTTAAAAAATTTATGAATGGTTAAAAGTTAACCTGATAAGACGGGTTGAACACCGTTGAGTAGAATTGTGACTGCCAAGAGGTAAGACATTTCACTAACTGATTGGAGGACATCAGTGCTGGAAGTGAATATGTACCCAAACTGATCACGGAATATAATAATAAGTATGCAGAAGAATAGGGCAATTAAGGTGGATTCCGCAGCAGAAACTTTTGCGGCAAATTTTGCTGCCTGACCATTTCCACCTCCCAGCTCATTTGCTACCCTTACTCTGTGAGTTCATGACAAAAAAGAATGAACATTTTAATTATATTTAACCATAAGCAAAATAAGAAAATAGATGTCTTTTTTTTTATAGTTAATGATCAAAATCCCTAACTAATCTATCTCATTGCTTCTGCATAATAATTTTTTTTTTCTTTCAATTGTTTACTAAAAAAGTGGCGAGAGGTCAAAAATAGTTACCCCGTTCCAGCAAAGAAGGCTAGATGAATCATGAGCTCCCACCCATTTATAGTCATGCTGCAAGTTTCAATGCAAACAACACAAAAAAGAGAAGGTTAAAACTTAAAACTTACAGTTACAATATGGTGAAATTGAAAATTCACCAAATTAGAAGAAACTGCAAGAAAAAATAAAAATAAAAGTAGTATACCAAATTGATAAGGCATCGACAGCAAGAGTCGCGTTCTGTAAGTATCCAGTCATCAATATCAAGATTCTATAGTACCAGAATTCCAAACTGCGTAAATAATGAACGGCAATGCTTGAGATTGGAATTCTTTTTAAAAGCAAAAGGTGCTTAGTAAGTCCCAATGGCCATATGATCCCATATATGATGATTGGAATTCTAAGAATGGATATTATTACTATTTTTTTAGGCAAGCGATATTTAGGGAGTGGGGAACCTAGGATTTGAGATGCAGAAATAAATACTCTTATAATCACTTGAGTTACAAGCCTGCAAGAATGAATATTCTCTTTTAGGTTACAAGAAAACAAAGAAAGAAAAAAAAAAGAGAGAGATATAATACCAGAGCATGACACCAGAAGCAGTAGAAAGTTTGACAAATTCCCAAAGCCCATAAAAGGCTTCCATAGAGAAACCAGTCCAGCTTAGTGGACACCAACCACATGTAACATAGCCAAGCAGCCCAAAACACAAAACCCGCCATGAGATATCCAAAGCAACAGCAGCACCCACAACCCCGAAGTCCAAAACATACACAAAAAGCCAACTTATCAAGGCATGAAACACCAAAACCACCAAGGAAACCCACAAAGTCACAAAGTTCTTCAGCTGGCTCTGCAAGAACCTCTGCAGTGGGAACAAAAACGCATAGCTGAAGTGCAAGGGGAGAAGCCACAAAGACACCACCCCAGTTTGCTCCGCCACGTCATCGGCCTGTCCTAACAGTTTCAGGATCGGAGAGGCGAAAATGTATATAGGTAACAGCAGAATGCAGCAGAAAAACAACACAATCCATGACCTTTGTAGGTATATCCCCAACATGTGGTGCCTCTTTGCCCCAAAAGCCTGCCCACATAGTGTCTCTAGCGCACTTGCCATGCCTAGCTAATTAATTGCGAAAAAAACAAATTACAAAAAAGTTAGAGACAAAGAAATAAAGATTGGACATGCTATTCCAGCTTCCAGCATGTTATTTTGCACAATCTAGAAATCGGAATAACATATGGTGCATAAAATTTATTACACGAACACACTTTGAGATTTAGCATGGTTGATTATTACCAGGAGACCGAAAGTGAAGCCGAGGACGACATTGTTTGCAATGGAAATGGAAGCGAGTTCAACGACACCGAGGTGGCCGGCAAAGGCCTGTGTAATAACACCCATGGAGTAGCCAGCCAAACGGCTGACGATGGCGGGACCCACAACTCGCCATAGTTTCTTGGACTCTATCCAAACTCTGGACGGAAGGTGTTTGGCTTGAGATGGTTCTGCTAACAGAGATTGGTTAAGATCCACTTCTGCTTCTTCCCTGTCAATGCTTCCCATCGTAGAAATAGTTTAGTAAGACTTAAGAGTGATAAAAACCAAAAATAGAAAATAACCAGACAGAGATATAGTGGAGAAAAGGTAAATTTGACGTTGAGGAGTCGTTGCAAAAATGTTTGCTGTGGAAAATTAGGTGAGTTTTAGCACTCCAGCCACCCTCCCCCTTGCCTTTATTTATTTAATTCTCTGGTAATTAAAATGGGGCCTTCCCGAAACCAAAAACTAAACAAAAAGCAAAGCAATGCAAGTAGAGAACTTCAAATAAAAAAAATTGGACTGTCTGCCATTATGCAATATTATGCAAAATTAGGTGAAGTTTCTTGGATGAAGAGTTGTTGAGATTCGGAGAAATTTGCTTCCCCTTGGCCTCCATATTTTAATTGTATGACTTCATGGGGTTGCGCTTGGAATGCCCTTTAATTTTTCCAGCAGAAAAAGAAAAATGGTCATTGAATTTCCCATGACTACTCGGTTTAGTAACATTTAATTTTCACTTTATTAAAAAAGATTATAAGTTCAAATCTTATATATGTTCGCTTCGAATGAAAAGAATATTGATGATTGTATTTATCTAGCAAAGACCATCGACACATTAACAATTTAAAGGTCCTTCGAACAGAACACTAGGACTAGGAGGTAAGCATGATGAATTGAAATCAAATGAGGATCTGTATAGCAGAGACAAGACTTGCTCGAATTAGAACCTGCGAACAGAAACATACTAGATAGATAGGTGCATCTGGAGAAACGACTTGGTAAAGACCCAAGGACTGTGTTGATTCTCCACAGGATCAAAGAATGATGAAAACTCATTAAGGAATGTGTTTATACCTACAATTTATGGAAATTTCACACTAATTAATTAAGCATATAGTTAACCAATTGAAAAGAAATGCAATAACTAATTTTTAAATTCCTCCTTTGTATTTATTGATAACAATTATCATAGTTAATTATCATAAGTACTAATTTAAAGAAAATAAGTAAATCTGAAGATGGTACCAACCAACTAGAAACTTAAATAAAATTAAAGAATTACAAGGAAGGTGTTCAAAATTACCATTTTAGCCCAAGAGGTGGATCAGATAGGCAGACCCCATCATCAATCTTTTTTTCAGAGACTTGCCATTAATTTTGATGTTTTGGACTTGAGACGCCTTTTTCACCCACTCCGTTCCACATCTCGTCTCAAACCATTGTGCAAGATTCGGACAATCCGAGATGCTCAATTCCTGCAGCGGGGTCTTCCATAGGAAGTTTGGCAGTGCTTTCAGCCTATTGCAGTACTGGATTTCTAAGTATAAAAGAGATGGCATTATTGTAATTTTAGAATCCTCTTCTTCTACTCCTTCCCATTCTTCCCACTGCTCCATGTCATGAAGTTGGAGTTTTTTCAATTTCGGAAACAACTTTATTAATGTTTGTGGTGTTTCGCCTGTTATTCCCAAAAATTCAACTCCCACCTTTTTCACACTCATCATCCCACTTATCTCTAAATATTCAAGGGATGGAAGTTTTCCCAGAGGAGCCAAAACCCCACAAAATGGAACATCATAGAATACAAGCCTTCTCACATTATGACAGCTCATCATCCAACTGGGACACAAGGTGTTACTATGGTAATTCCAGATAGCCAACGACTCCAGATTTGTATGCACTTGAAAGCCATTCAGTATTTCTTCATCCTTTGAATCCGCCTCAGCTCTCTCCGGATCTAAAACATAGTCGTGCCAAAAATCTAGTTTCAAATGAAGGAGGTTCTTCTTGTTCACCAATTTTGCATTTTTAGCCTCACTCCCATCTTTCGTTGACTTCAAGTTTATTATACAAAGGCTCCCTTGAAGCTGCTCCAAGTTTCCCAAATCCCCTAACTTGAAAATTCCTTCATCATGCTTGCCACCGTGTTGAAGATACAAGAAATCTAAGATTTGCAGATTTCTTAATCTTCCAATCTCTTTTGGTACTTTTAGAACATAGCACTCCTCAATATAAAGATGTTTTAAGTTAACCAACTTTCTTAAGCTCACCGGCAGTTCTCTGAGTCCAAAGCACCTCATGAGAAGCAATGTTTCCAGATTGAATAAATTACCCATAGAATTGGGTAATTCTTTCAATTCTTCATTTTCACTTAAATCGAGATACCGCAAATGTACTAGTCCACCAATACTTTCGGGAACTTCTTTGATTGAGATTTCATTCAACTTTAACGTTCTAAGGCTTTTCAATTGTGAAAATAAGTCTGAGCGTAATGGAGGAAGTTCTGGAGTAGAAATTACCAAAGTCCGTAATCCTTTGCAATTGTAAATTGAAACAAGAAACGAATAATTGTATGACATTATGTTCAAATGACGAACCTTATTATGGACTATCATGTTTTTCTCTTTGCAACTTTCCGCCACCTCCATGATAAAACATTCATTTTTGGTGAGGAACTGTACAAAGTCATGCACAATATCATGCATTTTGCAGCCTATAATTGTTAGTAAAGTCAAAGACAAAACATAGACATCCCTAAATGGCTTGTCTACCACCTTGTTACTTTTCCTTGTTTTCATATTCCTTGTTTTAGGGATGGAAACTCTCCATGTTTCCCTCCATGTCTTGTGCATTGTTTGTAACTAATAATCACCTTGTATACTTGTATATCTAACCCTTCACTAAGTAAGAAACTCAATTGGCAGATTTGAATTCTCTGCAAAACCTATCTTGTTCTTCTTATTATACATTCTCAACTCTCTCAATTACACTATATTTGGCATGGTATCAGAGCAATCGATTTTGGTTGCCTCTGCATAACCTTGTTCTTGCCTAAATCTCTACATATCCTTGCCCATAATTTGCTGTTATATTATTCCTACCTCATACTTTGCCTTGCCTCAAAATTGGTCTTGATCACAAGCCCTTTTTGATAATTGACACAGGTGCCACTGATCATATGACTTTTGACTCTACTATGTTTTCCACAATATCTTCTAAGTCTCGTCATCCTTACATCACTAGTGCCAATGGAGTCCCCTCTAATGTTGCTGGTGAAGGAACTATATCACTTTCCCCTTCCTTATCTTTATCTCATACACTACTTGTTCCCTCCATCAATTGCAATTTGCTGTCTGTTGGAAAATTACTTGACTCACATAACTGTTATGCCACATTCTTTCCTTCCCATTGTCTTTTTCAGGACCTCACGACTCACGCGACGATTGGGCATGGTAAACGAAGAGGGGGGGTTGTATTCCTTGATGGTCTCTTCACCACCAAGGGCAGCTCATACTCAAGGTTCCAGCTCACGAGCTCGCAATCAACATCAGATTTGGCTTTGGCATCGTCGTCTAGGACATCCATCCTTTGGCTATCTTCAACGTTTGTTTCCGTCTTTGTTTCGTGGCCTAGATCATTCTCAGTTTCAGTGTGAAACCTGTGTATTGGCCAAAAGCCATCGAACTGTTTTTCCCTTAAGTGATAATAAAACGGAATTCCCTTTTGATTTGGTTCACTCTGATGTTTGGGGTCCTGCTAAAGTTTCTTCCAATGGCAAAAGATGGTTTATTACATTTATTGATGATTGTACTCGCATGACTTGGGTATATTTATTAGCTCATAAAAGTGACGTTTCCGCTGCAATCCGTGAATTTCATGCTATGATTACCACACAGTTCCAAGCTTCCATCAAAGTATTCCGGTCTGATAATGGTGGGGAATATGTGAACAATGTCTTGGCACATTTCTTTCGAGACCAAGGCATCATTCATCAAACCTCCACATCTTTCACTCCGCAACAAAATGGTGTCGCAGAGCAAAAGAATTGACAATTACTTGAGGTTACTCGTGCTTACATGCTGGATAAATCGGTCCCTCACTACTTATGGGGACATGCCCTTCTTTCTGCAGTATATGTAATTAATCGAGTGCCGAGTAGTGTTTTGAAGTTTGAAACTCCACTGAACACCTTGGCTCGTCATGTCTCTCTTCCTACAGTCCTCAAGCTGCCTCCTCGCATATTTGGTTGTGTTGTATATGCTCATGTTCCATCTCATCAAAGAAGTAAGCTGGACCCTTGTGCCATTCGATGTGTGTTCGTTGGGTATGGATCAACTCAAAAGGGATACAAGTGTTACCATCCTCCTACTCGTAAGCTCTTTGTCACTATGGATGCCACATTTCATGAAGATTTATCCTACTTTAAAGCTGCTATGCCCCCTTCTCTTCAGGGGGAGAGAAGGAATGAAGAGAAGGAAGAAAAGGAAGAAAATATCCAAGTCTGTGACAAAACGACCGGTCGCAACCCAGAAGCGACCGGTCGCTTTCCTGAAACGACCGGTCGCACTGACCACAGCGACCGGTCGCATTGCTCTAGGGATGATGAAGATCGACTCTGTGACAAAACGACCGGTCGTAATATAGAAGCGACTGGTCGTCCAGACTCCAGGGAGGAAAATCGACTTTGTGACAAAACGACCGGTCGCACAGAACCCAGCGACCGGTCGCCAAGCACCAGTGAACTTCAAAATTTGGGCAGCGATGAAGGTATTGGAAAATTGTCGTTCTTATTTGGTGAAGATCCCGGAGGAGACAATTCAAATGGTTGCTGCGATCAACAACAAAATACAACCCCTTCTTCTCAACCATCGGACCAGTCGTCTCGTGATGAGGAAACACTTGAGGTAATTCCCGAAGCACCTAATGCTATACCATACACTCTCCCACCTAGGACCACTAGAGGAAAACCCAAGCCTCAATATTGTCCTGACCTTACTGCCAAATCTAAATATCCCATTAATAACCATGTTTCAACTCATAGATTGTCAAAGTCATATGCATCATTTGTCAATCAATTATCTACTGTATGTGTTCCAAATAAGTGGCAGGATGCTATAACAGATTCCAGATGGGCTGAAGCAATGGCAATTGAAATGGAAGCTCTGGAAAAGAATTCTACATGGGAAATAGTCCAGTTGCCACAAGGGAAGAAACCCGTTGGATGTCGGTGGATATACACCATTAAATACAAAGCTGATGGATCCATAGATCGATCCAAAGCTCGATTAGTGGCCAAAGGGTATACACAAACATATGGAATTGACTACCAAGAGACATTTGCACCTGTTGCCAAGATCAATACCGTACGTGTTCTCATGTCATTGGCTGCAAACCTTGATTGGCCACTATTGCAGTATGATGTAATGAATGCATTTCTTCACGGGGAATTGCAAGAAGAAGTGTATATGGAACCACCACCAGGGATCTCCATGGCACTTGGTCCCAACACCGTGTGCAAGCTGAGAAAATCATTATATGGGCTAAAGCAGTCACCACGAGCCTGGTTTGGAAAATTCACCGATTCCATGAAGCGTTTTGGGTACACTTAGAGCAACTCGGATCACATTTTATTCTTAAAGCGTCGTGGTGACAAACTTACGGCCCTTATCATCTATGTTGATGATATGGTGGTTACCGGTAATGACAATGAAGAAATGAAGAATTTGCAGAAGCTCCTTGCTAGTAAATTTGAGATGTAGGAATTAGGTGAGTTACAATATTTTCTTGGCATAGAAGTTGCTAGATCAACACATGGCATATTTCTATTCCAACGAAAATATGTGTTAGACTTGTTAACAGATACTGGAATGCTTGATTGTAAGCCAGCTGACACACCTATTGAGCAGAACCACAAGTTAGGGATGTATCCAGACCAAGCACCCACTGACAAAGAAAGGTATCAAAGATTGGTTGGGCGATTGATTTATCTATCACACACACGCCCCGACATAGCTTATGCTGTGAGTATGGTGAGTCAGTTTATGCATCAACCAAGTGAGGCACACATGAATGCAGTAACTCGGATCATGAGGTACTTGAAGGCTGCCCCTGCCAAGGGGTTGATATTCTCCAAACATACACATATGAACCCAGAAGGATACACAGATGCGGATTGGGCAGGATCCATCACAGATAGACGTTCTACTTCTGGATACTTTACATTTGTGGGGGGCAACTTAGTCACTTGGAGAAGTAAGAAGCAAAAAGTTGTGGCTAGATCAAGTGCTGAAGCAGAATTTAGGGGAATGGCTCAAGGAGTTTGTGAATTGCTCTGGTTACGGAAATTACTGAAGGATCTGGGAATTAAACCATTGAAAGCTACAAACTTGTACTGCGACAATAAATCAGCTATCGAGATAGCACATAACCCAGTACAACACGACCGTACCAAACATGTGGAAGTCGACCGACACTTCATCAAAGAGAAACTAGAAAGGGGTATAATCAAGTTTCCATTTGTAAACTCGGAAAACCAACTTGCTGACATCTTGACGAAGGCCGTATCAAGTAAAGTTTTCCATGACTCACTGGACAAGTTGGGCATGCGTGATATCTTTGCACCAACTTGAGGGGGAGTGTTAGTAAAGTCAAAGACAAAACATAGACATCCCTAAATGGCTTGTCTACCACCTTGTTACTTTTCCTTGTTTTCATATTCCTTGTTTTAGGGATGGAAACTCTCCATGTTTCCCTCCATGTCTTGTGCATTGTTTGTAACTAATAATCACCTTGTATACTTGTATATCTAACCCTTCACTAAGTAAGAAACTCAATTGGCAGATTTGAATTCTCTGCAAAACCTATCTTGTTCTTCTTATTATACATTCTCAACTCTCTCAATTACACTATATTTGGCAATAATATCATCATTCACTCTGTCTTTAACGAAATCTTGGAAAAAAGAACGCATCACTAAGTTATCAAAGTACTGTTGGCCTATCATTCTTTCTTTTTCTCTATCTCCTTTCATACTAAGATATTCTTGTGACATCCAACACTCAATCAACTCATTTCTATCAAACTCATAATCTTTTGGGAAAACAGCACAAAATAAAAGACACCGTCTGACAGCTGGAGTCAAATCATAATAGCTAAGTAATAGTGATTGAAAAACCTGTTGTTCAACCTCTTCTAATTCCCACATCTTACTCTCCAAAACTGCTACCCATTCGTTTCTTGTCTTCTTATATCGCATGAGACTAGCTAAAGTCTTTGCAGCTAGAGGCAAGCCATCAACCTTTTTTGCAATCTTGTTCTTAATATCTTCATCAAACAACTTAGACTCATCTTTTTCTTTCTCAAAGAATGCAATTCTACGGAATATTAGCAAACAATCTTGGTCGCTCAACTTATTCAAATTGATCATGTGATCATTGGTTGCTCCCATCATAATAGCAACCTTGTTATTTCGAGTGGTCACTAATATTCTACTATTTGCATCACCTTTTTGCAAAGCTTCCTTCAATGGTTCCCACTTAGGATCAGTGGGATTCCACACATCATCTAAGACGAGGAGAAACTTTATACCATCAATATTTTCAGATATACATTCTGACAAAGTTTGAAACTCATTTGAGTTCTTTCGAGTATCGTCTTTATTCAGAACTTCAATGATGGCTTTGGCAATCTTAATCTCTTCAAAAGGGTCCGACACACAAACCCATATTCTCTTGTGGAAATGAGTTGTTACATTTTGGTCATTGTACACAGATTGGGCAAAAGCAGTCTTGCCCAACCCTCCCATCCCTACAATCGGGATCAACAATTGATGACGACTCTCACTTTTCAACATGCTAAGTATTTTCCTTTTTTCCTCTTCACGACCAATTATGGTAGACATGTCGACAAAGGAAGTGGTTTTGGATCGTTCAACTTGTTCAGTGCCTCTTACTGTGCTTCGAAAGTTATAATTGTTTCTTAAAATGGCTATCAGAGTTAGCCTTTCATTGATTTCTTTTATCCTCTTAGCAATGTCATGACGCATAATTATCCGATCACCAATTTGACCAAAACAGATAAGAATATTTGTGAGGAAGGAGGGAACGGTGGACCATACCTTGTTCCTCTTAGCAAGGACAAGATCATTATTCTCACATTCTTTTTCTTGCTTCTCCATGTGATGCTTGAGAATGGCGGTGTTCCACTCATCCAACACGTCGTTGATCTGGTACGACGCGTCTTTCAGATTGTACAGCCAACTCTTGACGTTGGCCTCCTTCACTTGCCTCTCCTCTGCATCCTGGAGCAGACCTTGAACAGCCTGGAGATGGAGGATGAGATTTTGGACTTCTTGGTCGACACCGATGACCAGGTTCACCTCTTCTTCTATCTGCTTCAGGCTGATGGAAGCCAGCTGTTCTAGCACTACTGAAACCAATGCTTCCGCCATTGTTGTTGCTTGTTGGCTTGGCGTTAGAATTTACTGAATAACAGGTTTTGAAAAACAAAAGGGAAAATGAAGTGCAGATGAACAACTGGGAAATATGACTAAAGCAGAGAGCAGAGATCTTGAAAGCTAATGGCAAAGACTCAAAAGAATGGTTGGTTTGGTGAAGTAACAATTTTTATAACAAGTTTTTTGACCGTTGTAGTAATTTTTTTCTAAACGTTGCCCACAAAGGTCCACATTACTTTTTTGACAGTGTTTTCCTAACTTCACATTCATATAACCTTATCCTCAATAATGCAATGAACATGAGCTCAAGTGACTGCATTATTTTGATGGGGTGGGGATGAGAATTTTGATCTGCAAATTGAAGCATCCATTGAACGAAGCAAGTAGACTTCTATTCTATGGTCCACGCAAACTTTTCCAAGTAGAGAATTCAAAGCACAAAAAAACAAACTAATTGATACACCAAAATCCAATCAAGCCCCACTTTGTAGTTTGTAATATTGTCTTTAAATTAAGATTCACATACTGACCTATCGATCATTATCTCATTTTACATTACAAACTAGTGCACCTTCAATTTCTTTCTTTCACATTATTATTTTCTTAGGGACCGTTTCATAATCATTTCAATATAGCTGAAAAAGAAGAAGAACAGAAGTGAGAATGTGATAGGATGGAATCTATTTTAGAATTCCAAAACTGTTAAAGAGGCTATTAGAGATGTTCTTAGCGTGTGAATGATTGGAACTGGAATTATTTCCGTTTCATCTATACATATTCATACTCGTAACAATTTTCTAGCCAACCAAACACAAGAGTAATGCAAAAAATGACATAATGAGACACAACAAAAGCTCCTCTCTCATACAAAGAAATAAAAGAATAAAAACAAGGAAAATAAAGTCAAAGTCGTCGTGAGTGACTCATGAACCATGGTGAAAATAGTCTTGCAAATTATTCTAAAGACGACAATACATCATAATAAATTGCAATTCACTGTCGGTGAAATTTCATCGGGGCCCATCTGTATCTGCTTTACGTGTTACATACAGCTGACCCTGTTTCACCACAAGAAAATATGTTGAATTTTATCTCTGAAGTCCACAATAAATAATTAAAAAAATATATTATATTTATATATGATTTTCAGAGAGAAATACCACAATATTGTCACAAGTTTCTTCCAAATCCTGAATTGCTTTTTGGCTTTTTTTCCAAGAGCGTTTTTCTTAGTGTAGTGTTTTTCTTCACAACCAAAGTAAAGGGCAAAGGGGAAAGGGCTTGCCTTCCTCGTAAGGTAATCGATCACCTTTTATATGATATGATTACACACTGGAAGAATTGAAAACTACTTAGAATATAATGTGATTACAAAATTTGAACCTGCAGATTATGTCAAAATTATAAAAAATGTTCGACTTAATGCTCATGTATTTTTGTTCTATTTATGTTCCTCTATTTGATTGTCAGGGTTAGGCGTTGACCACTTCTTTGCACGCTGGTTAGCCTTCTGAGCCTGCAAAATTGATCCAACAGTATAAATATTGGATAGGAGAATATCTACACTTGGGCTAGCAAGCATTCAGAATAAGGACAAGTAAATACAAATTCTTGTTCCTCCTTTTCCCAATCATGTCGTATTAGCACGATGGCCGAAATCACCGTTTGCACAGCAGTTCCACCAAAGATCATCCCACCCTATATACCCTGTTTTATAATAATTTGCACAAGCTAATCAATTAGTTAAATATAACTAGCCGCTTTAATCATTCTATTTCGATGATACTCTCTAGTTTTGATTAACTTTGAACATTTAATTGTTTTTTTTAATAAGACTGAATCATTATTCAGAAAACTAAATTCTACTTATGGATAGCTAGCATGTTGGATGATTTTTTTTGTTTGTTTCGGGGTGAATTTGAGTATTTTTTTATATAAAAAAATAGCTAGAAAGGGTTTAGCTAATCTATTGGAGATGCTCTTAACTGGCGCAATAACAAAAAGAAACATAGCGAAATGTACCGAACCGAAACACCCAAGTGGCGGATCCATCCCATTACAAACGCAAGTGGGAACCCAATAATATAGTAGCAGAAAATATTTATGTATGCAACCCATGCTTGCAATCCTGTGCCCACAACTATTCCTGTGAGTACAAAGACAATTGTTTTACTGATTTAATGGAAGAAAAAGAAAAACACTAATGTGAATGTGAAATTGTGATGTATGCCAACAGAATAGTTCAAAGACTTTCTTTTTTTCTTTGTGGGGATAATAATAACAAAGGTGGCTTTGTTGTTATTGGACAAAAACTTCCATTAGGTTTGTTTTTTCTTTGGAGAAAAGTTTGGACAAAAGAGAAAATGAAATTTTGAGCTAGGTTGGTTTTTCTCATGGATGGTTTTGCATATTTTAGTCTTTTTGTAGAGAGGAGGTTGATGGGTTACCTCTGTCTAGTCTTTGCCAAATGTGTCAAAGTTAACATTGATATTGACTGTGTTCTCATCTATTCGTTTGTTTGTGGATGAGCTCAGGCTGCTAAGATTTGTCTTCTGTTGATGCGAAAAAGTGGTTCGGCACTTTTGGGCTCAACTTAGTATTTTTGGGCCTTCGGAATGCTTTTGGCCTCGGTTCAGCGAGTGATCTGCAAGATGAGAAAACGCTCGGTAAAACCCGGGGCACCAGTGTGGTACTGACCGAAGGCTCTTCGATGCTTAAATAAGTTCGGAAGTAGAAAGTTCAACTGACAGATCAATAGGCTTGTATGCCGTAAGTTTTGATTACCTCCATTTTGGGATGGATGTCCCCTTTTATAGACCTTGGGAGGTGTGCATAGCGTTTAGGATTTCGATGTGGGACTGTGGATGTTGATTGTGAGCATGTCACGTGTCCTAGGGGAGGGCGTTGCCCTAATGGATCAATCGGTAGGCTAGGTGCCGAAGTCAACCATGACCAGGCTCGATTTCTTCCACATGTCTTGTTCTTATTGGTTGTTCATTCTGGTATAAATAGGAGTCCCCCAAGTTTCCATCTGAGAGTTCTCGGATGGGGACTTGATTGCTTCTTCGGGTATCATAATATTGTCCTACCATTCGGTTGTCTAGCAAAGTGTAGCGCTTGGTCCTCGTTTGTGACTCTTCGTTTGGTAAGCATACGTTTGGGAACTCAAAGGTCGCCAGTTCGAAGATTGTCGTTTGGTAGGAGAGGCCGTATGAAATGGATACCGTCATGCCTTTCCGATTAGTCACTAACTTGGACAAATTGGATCTCGCAATCAAGGCTACGCGCGTTGGGGAGGAGAAACGATGGGACACAGTGGCGCTTCGTCTTCTGTGCCTTGCGTGCTGACAGAACCTCCTGTCAGCGTGTGACACATGGCGTATCCACTATTGTGGAGCGGCGCCATTAATGCGCCGTTTGGTTTCTCGAGGCGTGCCATTTCGATCCCTCGTCCTATAAATAGGAGCGACTCCAGAGGAGAAATTCACTTTACGTTTGTGAGTGAAGTGAAAGCTCTGTCAAGACGATTTCCGACGAGAGTTAACGGCAGCCAAAGCGATTTCTGGCTAGAGCTAACGGCAATCCAGGCGATTTCTGACGAAACCAATCGGTAGTCAAGGTGATTTCTGATGAAACCAATCGGTAATCCAGGCGACTCCTTTTCATCTACAACTTCGGGATAAGGTACCGTTCGGCACCTTCTTAATATCTTTACTTACTCTGTACACGTCCTTCCTTGGCATTAACTAGACTGAACTTTGTGCAAGTCGGGTTTCATTCGGTAGTCTAGTTGCCATAGGTAGCGATGTATGTATCGGTAGGCTAGTCTTCTGAATGGCCCTTAGTTTCCTTTTTCTTTGTTTTGTAGATGTCTGATAGCGAGTCTCCATTCGAGAGGCAACCCAACACGTTTGATGAGGAGTCATCGCACGGACAAGGGGATTCTAGCGGTGAGACCTTGAGTCTTGTTTCAGCTTTTTTTGCCAGCCAGAGACTCTTAAAATGGAGGAGGAGGAAGAGAGCTCTCGGTTCAGCTTTTTTGCCAGCCAGAAAATATAAGACACTAAAATTATAAATTTTGCTTATTGTGCTTGGGTTTGAGGAATTTGTAACCATGCATTTGTCTAAATTGATGCATGACTGAGCAACTATGACGGGGGCTTCAATCTTGACCTACAAAATTGGAATGTCCTGGTCCATATGCATATCGGTGAGCATTGGTGGACCCAAAATTTTTTTAACGGAGGTGCAATTTTGAAAGGCTAAAAACGCTTTGTGGATTGAACATCTAAGGGTTTTTTTTTACCTAGATTGACCTTAGGTCCCTTCATGCATTCATATCATACATGAAAAATTGTTTTATGTAAAAATATTGACTAAGTATTTTTTTGGAATAATTATTTTCTCAAGATAATTTTTGGCAGCTTTTATTCCTTACACATCAAATAAGAAAGCTTGATTTTATGGGATTTTAGTATGAAGTATATATTGACTTAATGAGCCATCATTTTTAGCGTAAATCGTATTTTGCACTAAAACCGATTATTCATATTTTGATTTGGTGGGAATTTAATTTTCTAGTATTTTTATTTGAATCCAAATGAGGGGTACTTCACTTTAATTTTTATATTACTCCATTTACTTAAATGTTGAAAATGGAAATAAGGTAATTTGTACACCAGCTGAGAAAAGGGGCAATTTGAGGCACCTACAATGGTTTTTCTGGCGAGAGGAGGTGTGCACTTCCTTGCGCCTTAATAGGCGGTGAGAGGACCAGTTGCTATCCAAATCATTTGGCTGATGTCTTTGTATTCTTGCTAACTAGCGATGTCTTTGTATTCATGGAAGAGAGAGAGTTGTCAACGGTGAACGGTGGAGAGGGGTCGGGGTGGCACTTGGAGTTGGGTAGGTGGGATGGCTGCTAGGTTTATAATTTTTTCTTTATTGTTCAGTTTAATTTGTTTATTTTAAATTAGAGTTAACAGTGTTAGGGTTAGATTAATTAAATAGATAGGTGTCAAAAGTTAAAAATTAAAGAGTCGTAAATGTACGATGTCTAAATGTAGAGGCTCAGAATGAGGGTTTGTTAAGTTTGACATATTCCAAGAATGGGATTGAGAAAACGGGATCCTCTAGTGTCAATCAAATGATACATTGCCAATTTTATGTACTGGGTTATTTTAGGCACAAAGGTCCAAACCCTAAATAAACACCAATCTGAACCTTCGTAATGTCTTTTGGTGTCACCTTGCAGAACTAAAAGCTCAATGACTTGAAATTCTTTTTTTTTTTTATAAAGGCAAACGATAATTCATTCAAATAATCAAGAACAATAGAGTTAGCATGTATCAAAGTGGTCTCGTTAAAACCTTCCCGAAGAAAACCACATGGGACAAAACTTCGGGATAGGAAAGAGTACCACACATGCCAAGAAATTACAATAGAATCAAGGAAAGGAATGCAGAGAAGGACAATCATCTTGAATGCAATCCATGAGTAGTCAAGGATGGCACTCATCCATCCAAAATGATAGGCTGATTCACGAAGACAAAACTGAGCAATCCGGTGAGCAGCTCCATTAGCTTTACTAGGAACATATTGAACAGTAGTTTTGGGGTCTCATCATAACTCAATTAGGCGATGAATCTCATCCACCAAAACCCCTTTTGATGCAAGCACTCCTCATCAGTGTTAATCATTTGAACTGCTGTCAAAGAGTCAAATTTCACCACAAGAGGCACACAAGAAGCATCCAAAGCAAAGGGGATTCCAACCTTCAAAGCATATAGCTCATGGCAAGGGTGGACCACGTTGAGGGCTCTAATAGCTACTGCAGGTTGTGGTGATAGTGTTCTTTATCACAGCATCTGTTGATTCTGCACACAATCCGAAGGACCTCAGATTTTTAAACCGTGAATAGAAATAGAGTGACAAAACTATTTCATGAATCTAATTTAATAAAGAAGGCTTGAAAGACCAGTTTGGTTTCAAATTCCAAAAATATTATCTTGCAATATTTACTTACCAATCAAAATCCTATCCACTGTGCCTCTTAATTGAGATGCAACGATCTTAGCACAATTCGCAAATCTGCTGCTCTTGCAGAAATGTTTTGCATGTGCATTAAGAAACTGAAGTAATTTCCACTTAATAGAGTCTCCACAAACATGGTAGTCGTTTTAGACACTACAAGGCCAAGTTAATGAAATTCAATGGGATTAGAATGTGATTACACTTTCAAAACAGAACCTTAAACATATGTACGCACAAGGTTTGAAGCAAAACATGTATGTTCCTCGAATTGTTGCGTTAGGAAAAAATAAAGTTGATATTTTCAATTTGTACAATTTGAGGCAAAGATACCTTGGAGATGAACAAGTCTTCTATGGGTCTCATGACACTCTGACTCTGTCCAATTCCATCTTGATCAAGTTAATTACAGCAACCGAAGCTACTAACTCCACGCGAAGAACTGCATCGTTTCTTCTAAAGCTCAGATGTGTCAAGTTTGACGGACCTGAAAGAATTTGATCAATTCATGTTCAGTTTCTTCCATATTCAGGGCCATAAAAAATGACAACAAATATTGAGCATATAACAGGATAGAAAAAGGTCGGGAAGAAGAAGGAAAACTTTCGGAATAGATAAATAAACCAGAAAGATCCACAGACACAGAAAGTAAAGGTGACCCTTGTGAGGACTGAGGAGAATCCATGCATCCATGATTTGCACCAGGTTATTGTCCTAAGTAGAGAACCTGCATAACAAAATGGCATAAAACACTAGGACTAGGAGGTAAGCATGATGAATTGAAATCACATGAGGATTTATATAGCAGAGACGAGACTTGCTCGAATTAGAAACGACTTGATTACGCACCTGCGAACAGAAACATACTAGATAGGTGCATCTGGAGAAACGACTTGGTAAAGACCTGCTGTGTTGATTCTCCTTATTCCAAAGGATCAAAGAATGATCAAAACTCATTAAGGAATGTGTTTATACCTACAATTTATGGAAATTTCACACTAATTAAGCTGGATATATAATTAATGTAGTGACACTAATTAAGCTGGATATATAATTAACTTTTATAAAAATCAATGAATTAGCATATAGTTAACCAATTGAAAAGAATTTAAAACAAATGCAATAACTAATTTAAATTCCTCCTTTGTATTTATTGATAACAATTATCATAGTTAATTATCATAAGTACTAATTTAAAGAAAATAAGTAAATCTGAAGATGGTAGCAAAGCAACTAGAAACTTAAATAAAATTAAAGAATTACAAGGAAGGTGTTCAAAATTACCATTTTAGCCCAAGAGGTGGATCAGATAGGCAGAGCCCATCTTCAATCCTCCTCCATTCCAACTCCGTCTTTTTCAATCACATGTAACATAGCCAAGCAGCCCAAAACACAAGACCCGCCATGAGATATCCAAAGCAACAGCAGCACCCACAACCCCAAAGTCCAAAACATATTGTATCATAAAATGTTAGCTTCAGCTTCCCTTAACTTCTTTTATTTCTTTTGGTTGAAAGAAATAAGTGGACTTTTTTTTTCTTTCTGTGAAAAGAAATGAGTGGACTTTTATGTTCGAATCATACCTCCTTTTACCAATCACGTCGTGTTGTCACGATGGCCAACAGCACTGTTTGGACAGCAGTTCCACCAAGGATCATCCCACCCCATATACCCTGTTTTTATAAAAGAAAAAATCGACAAGCATACTGAGATAATGTAGTAAATTAGTGCTTGAAAGAGCTCATTACAAGTGTATATATTATATGAATCAAAACACCCAAAATTAGGAGCCAAACATACCATAACACCTAAGTTGGCGACCCATCCCATTACAAATCCAAGTGGGAGCCCAATAATGTAGTAGCAGAAAAGATTTATATATGCCACCCATGCTTGCCATCCAGAGCCCACAGCCACTCCTGTAACATTAAACACCATCTTTTACCCGTTGATTTAGGTATCGCAATATTCAAGTTAAGCACTGAACGATCATTAACCGTTGATTTAGGTGAAACCTATAGTTAGATCTGCATATATATAACGAACAACCAGCTATGTACATATAAGCAACTGTTGTATTTTTTGGTAAGTAAAGATAGTATACCTACGACTAATTTGTAGTTAAAAAGTTTACGAATTGTTAAAAGTTAACCTGATAAGACGGGTTGAACACCGTTGAGTAGAATTGTGACAGCCAAGAGGTAAGACATTTCACTAACTGATTGGAGGACATCAGCGCTGGAAGTGAATATGTACCCAAACTGATCACGGAATATAATAATAAGTATGCAGAAGAATAGGGCAATTAAGGTGGATTCCGCAGCAGAAACTTTTGCTGCAAATTTTGCTGCCTGACCATTTCCAGCTCCCAGCTCATTTGCTACCCTTACTCTGTGAGTTCATGAGAAAAAAGAATGAACATTAGAATTATATTTAACCCTAAGAAAAAGAAGAAAATAGTGGCAAGAGGTCAAAAATAGTTACCCTGTTCCAGCAAAGAAGGCTAGATGAATCATGAGCTCCCACCCATTTATAGTCATGCTGCAAGTTTCAATGCAAACAACACAAAAAAGAGAAGGTTAAAACTTAAAACTTACAGTTATAGTATGGTGAAATTGAAAATTTACCAAATTAGAAGAAACTGCAAGAAAAAATAAAAATAAAAGTAGTATACCAAATTGATAAGGCATCCACAGCAAGAGTCGCGTTCTGTAAGTATCCAGTCATCAATATCAAGATTCTATAGTACCAGAATTCCAAACTGCATAAATCATGAACGGCAATGCTTGAGATTGGAATTCTTTTTAAAAGCAAAAGGTGCTTAGTAAGTCCCAATGGCCATATGATCCCATATATGATTATTGGAATTCTAAGAATGGATATTATTACTATTTTTTTAGGCAAGCGATATTTAGGGAGTGGGGAATCGAACCTAGGATTTGAGATGCAGAAATAAATACTCTTATAATCACTTGAGTTACAAGCCTCGTGCAAGAATGAATATTCTCTTTTAGGTTACAAGAAAACAAAGAAAGAAAGAAAAAAGAGAGAGATATAATACCAGAGCATGACACCAGAAGCAGTAGAAAGTTTGACAAATTCCCAAAGCCCATAAAAGGCTTCCATAGAGAAACCAGTCCAGCTTAGTGGACACCAACCACATGTAACATAGCCAAGCAGCCCAAAACACAAAACCCGCCATGAGATATCCAAAGCAACAGCAGCACCCACAACCCCGAAGTCCAAAACATACACAAAAAGCCAACTTATCAAGGCATGAAACACCAAAACCACCAAGGAAACCCACAAAGTCACAAAGTTCTTCAGCTGGCTCTGCAAGAACCTCTGCAGTGGGAACAAAAACGCATAGCTGAAGTGCAAGGGCAGAAGCCACAAAGACACCACCCCAGTTTGCTCCGCCACGTCATCGGCCTGTCCTAACAGTTTCAGGATCGGAGAGGCGAAAATGTATATAGGTAACAGCAGAATGCAGCAGAAAAACAACACAATCCATGACCTTTGTAGGTATATCCCCAACATGTGGTGCCTCTTTGCCCCAAAAGCCTGCCCACATAGTGTCTCTAGCGCACTTGCCATGCCTAGCTAATTAATTGCGAAAAAAACAAATTACAAAAAAGTTAGAGACAAAGAAATAAAGATTGGACATGCTATTCCAGCTTCCAGCATGTTATTTTGCACAATCTAGAAATCGGAATAACATATGGTGCATAAAATTTATTACACGAACACACTTTGAGATTTAGCATGGTTGATTATTACCAGGAGACCGAAAGTGAAGCCGAGGACGACATTGTTTGCAATGGAAATGGAAGCGAGTTCAACGACACCGAGGTGGCCGGCAAAGGCCTGTGTAATAACACCCATGGAGTAGCCAGCCAAACGGCTGACGATGGCGGGACCCACAACTCGCCATAGTTTCTTGGACTCTATCCAAACTCTGGACGGAAGGTGTTTGGCTTGAGATGGTTCTGCTAACAGAGATTGGTTAAGATCCACTTCTGCTTCTTCCCTGTCAATGCTTCCCATCGTAGAAATAGTTTAGTAAGACTTAAGAGTGATAAAAACCAAAAATAGAAAATAAAAACTTGACCAGACAGAGATATAGTGGAGAAAAGGTAAATTTGACGTTGAGGAGTCGTTGCAAAAATGTTTGCTGTGGAAAATTAGGTGAGTTTTAGCACTCCAGCCACCCTCCCCCTTGCCTTTATTTATTTAATTCTCTGGTAATTAAAATGGGGCCTTCCCGAAACCAAAAACTAAACAAAAAGCAAAGCAATGCAAGTAGAGAACTTCAAATAAAAAAAATTGGACTGTCTGCCATTTTATGCAAAATTAGGTGAAGTTTCTTGGATAAAGAGTTGTTGAGATTCGGAGAAATTTGCTTCCCCTTGGCCTCCATATTTTAATTGTATGACTTCATGGGTTTTCGCTTGGAATGCCCTTTAATTTTTCCAGGAGAAAAAGAAAAATGGTTATTGAACTTCTTCCCATCATTGTAGTTGATGACTAATCGGTTCAGTGACATTCAGTTTTCAATTTATTAGAAAAGATTATGAGTTCAAATCTTATATATCTCCGCTTCGGTCGAAAAGAATATTGATGATTGTATTTATCAAGCAAAGACCATCATCGACACATTAACAATTTAAAGGTCCGTGCAAAATTTGAACCTGCAGACTCTGGACTTCATCCTTGGAACAGAACACTAGGACTAGGAGGTAAGCATGATGAATTGAAATCAAATGAGGATATATATAGCAGAGACGAGACTTGCTCGAATTAGAACAAGGCAGCTGCCTACTTAATTACGTACCTGCGAACAGAAACATACTAGATAGATAGGTGTGCATCTGGAGAAACCACTTGGTAAAGACCCAAGGAATGTGTTGATTCTCCACAGGATCAAAGAATGATAACTCATTAAGGAATGTGTTTATACCTACAATTTATGGAAATTTCACACTAATTAATTAAGCATATAGTTAACCTACAATTTATGAAAAGAATTGAAAAGAAATGCAATAACTAATTTAAATTCTTCCTTTGTATTTATTGATAACAATTATCATAGTTACTAATTTAAAGAAAATAAGTAAATCTGAAGATGGTAGCAACTAGAATTAAAGAATTACAAGGAAGGTGTTCAAAATTACCATTTTAGCCCAAGAGGTGGATCAGAAAGAATCATCAGATAGGCAGACCCCATCATCAATCTTTTTTCACAAACTTGCCATTAATTTTGATGTTTTGGACTTGAGAAGCCTTGGCCCACTCCATTCCACATCTCGTCTCGAACCCATGTGCAAGAATCGAACAATATGAGAAGCTCAATTCCCGCAGTGGGGTCTTCCATAGGAAGTTCGGCAGTGCTTTCAGCTTATCGCAGAACCTGATTTCTAAGTATAAAAGAGATGGCATTATTGTAATTTTAGAATCCTCTTCTTCTACTCCTTCCCATTCTTCCCACTGCTCGATAGTTTCAAATTTGAGTGTTTTCAATTTCGGAAACGACTTTATTAATGTTTGAGGTGTTTCGCCTGTTATTCCCAAAAATTCAACTCCCACCTTTTTCACACTCACCATCCCATTTATCTCTAAATATTCAAGGGACGGGAGTTTCCCCAGAGGAGCCAAAACCCCACAAAATGGAACCTCATAGAATTCAAGCCTTCTCAGATTATGACAGCTCATCATCCAACTGGGACACAGGTTGGTACTGTTGTAATTACGGATAGCCAACGACTCCAGATTTGTATGCACTTGAAAGCCATTCAGTATTTCTTCATTCTTTAAATTCGCCTCAGCTGAATGCCCAAAATGTAGAGCCAAATCAAGGAGGTTCTTCTTGTTCACCAATTCTGCATTTTTAGCCTCACTCCCATCTTTCGCTGACTTCAAATTGTGTATATAAAGGCTCCCTTGAAGCTGCTCCAAGTTTCCCAAATCCCCTAACTTGAAAATTCCTTCATCATCCTCGTCACCGTCTTTAAGATAAAAGCAATCTAAGATTTGCAAATTTCTTAATCTTCCAATCTCTTTTGGTACTTTTAGATCATAGCACCCCAAAATATAAAGATGCTTTAAGTTAACCAACTTTCTTATGCTCACCGGTAGTTCTCTGAGTCCCCTGCACCATTTGAGACGCAATGTTTCCAGATTGAATAAGTTACCCACAAAATCGGGTAATTTGTACAATTCCTTATTCCTACTTAAATCGAGATACCGCAAATGTATTAGTCCACCAATACTTTCGGGAACTTCTTTGATTGAGTTTTTACCTAACTTTAACGTTCTAAGGCTTTTCAATTTTGAAAATGAGTCCGAGGGTATCGGAGGAAGTTCCCAACTAGAAATTACTAGAGTCCGTAATCCTTTGCAATTGTAGATTGAAACAGGAAATGAATCATCGCATGTCGACATTATGTTCAAATGACGAACCTTATTATCGACTAATATATTTTTCTCTTTGCAACTTTCCGCCACCTCCATAATAAAACATTCATTTTTGGTGAGAAACTGTACAAAGTCATGCACAATATCATGCATTTTGCAGCCTATAATATCATCATCCACTCTGTCTTTAACAAAATCTTGGAAAAAAGAACGCATCACTAAGTTATCAAAGTACTGTTGGCCTATCATTCTTTCTTTTTCTCTATTTCCTTTCATACTAAGATATTCTTGTGACATCCAACACTCAATCAACTCATTTCTATCAAACTCATAATCTTTTGGGAAAACAGCACAAAATAAAAGACACCGTCTGACATCTGGAGTCAAATCATAATAGCTAAGTAATAGTGATTGAAAAACCTGTTGTTCAACCTCTTCTAATTCCCACATCTTACTCTCCAAAACAGCTACCCATTCGTTTTTTGTCTTCTTATATCGCATGAGACTAGCTAAAGTCTTTGCAGCTAGAGGCAAGCCATCAACCTTTTTCGCAATCTTGTTCTTAATATCTTCATCAAACAACTTAGACTCATCTTTTTCTTTGTCAAAGAATGCAATTCTACGGAATAATTCCAAACAATCTTGGTCGCTCAACTTATTCAAATTGATCATGTGATCATTGGTTTCTCCCATCATATTAGCAACATTGTTTTTCCGTGTGGTCACTAATATTCTACTGTTTTTATCACCATTTTTCAAAGCTTGCTTTAATGGTTTCCAGTTCGATTCAGTGGGATTCCACACATCATCTAAGACGAGGAGAAACTTTTTACCACCAATATTTTTAGATATATTTTTCAACAAAGTTTCAAACTCAGACTCATTTGAGTTAATTGGTGGATTGCCTTCGTTCAGAACTTCAATGATGGCTTTGGCAATCTTAATCTCTTCAAAAGGGTCTGAAACACAAACCCATATTCTCTTTTCAAAATGAGTTGTTACATTTTGGTCACTGTACACAGATTGGGCAAAAGCAGTCTTGCCCAACCCTCCCATCCCTACAATCGGGATCACCAATTGATCACCACTCTCACTTTTCAACGTCCTAATTATTTCTTTTTTTTCCTCTTCACGACCAATTATTGTAGACACGTCGACAAAGGAAGTGGTTTTGGATCGTTCAACTTGTTCGGTGCCTCTTACGGTGCTTTGAAAGTTATAATTGTTTCTTAAAATGGCTATCCAAGTTAGCCTTTCATTGATTTCTTTTATCCTCTTAGCAATGTCATGACGCATAATTATCCTATCGCCAATTTGACCAAAGTAGATAAGAATATTGCCGAGGAAGGAGGGAATGGAGAACCGTACCTTATTCCTCTTAGCAAGGACAAGATCATTATTCTCACCTTCTTTTTCTTGCTTCTCCATGTGATGCTTGAGAATGGCGGTGTTCCACTCATCCAACACGTCGTTTATCTGGTACGACACGTCTTTCAGATTGTACAGCCAATTCTTGACGTTGGCCTCCTTCACTTGCCTCTCCTCTGCATCCTGGAGCAGACCTTGAACTGCCTGGAGATGGAGGATGAGATTTTGGACTTCTTGGTCGACACCGAAGACAAGGTTCACCTCTTCTTCTATCTGCTCCAGGGTGATGGAAGCCAGCTGTTGTAGCACTACGGAAACCAACGCTTCAGCCATTGTTGTTGCTTGTTGGCTTGGAGTTAGAATTTACTGAATAACAGGTTTTGAAAAACAAAAGGGAAAATGAAGTGCAGATGAACAACTGGGAAATATGATTAAAGCAGAGAGCATAGATCTTGAAAGCTACAGGGAAAGACTCAAAAGAATGGTTGGTGAAGTAAAGTCTCGCCCCACCACCAGCTTTTACAACAAGTTTTTTAGACCCTTCTGTATTAAAGTTTCCTGAACGTTGCCGATTACAGTCGTACAGGTTTTGTTTTAGGGTTAATTACAGTTAGTATCCTGTACTTACACTGTTAAGGCATGTTAGTCTCCGTCTTTTACACTGTTAAGGCATGTTCCGCCGTTAGGGTTTCGTCAGATCTCTCTGTTAGTTGCCTACGTGGCACTGTGGATCCCACATTTTTCATATTTTTTAATTCTAAATTGATTAAAATATAAATAAAATATTAAAAACCAAAAAAAATAAAAATTTCTCTCTCTCTCTCTCTCGATGAAGCTCCAACACCCAACCTTCAAACCCATACCACAGTCACCCTCCACCGCAGTGTCTCTCTCTCTCTCTCTCTCTCTCTCTCTCTCTCCCGATGAAGCTCCAACACAACAGTCGTACAGGTTTTGTTTTAGGGTTAATTACAGGTTTTGTTTTAGGGTTAATTACCCTTCTGTTTAAGGCATGTTAGTCTCCGTCTGTTTAAGGCACGTTAGTCTCCGTCTTTTCAATTTTTACAATCGCATACCCTGATCTTTTAAATTTATTACAATGTAGCTCCGCCGTTAGGGTTTCGTCAGATCTCTCTGTTAGTTGTCTACGTTGTCTACGTGGCACTGTGGATCCCACATTTTTCATAATTTTTAATTCTAAATTGATTAAAATATAAATAAAATATTAAAAACCAAAAAAAATAAAAATTTCTCTCTCTCTCTCTCGATGAAGCTCCAACACCCAACCTTCAAACCCATACCACAGTCACCCTCCACCGCAGTGTCTCTCTCTCTCTCTCTCTCTCTCTCTCTCTCCCGATGAAGCTCCAACACCCAACCTTCAAACCCATACCACAGCCACCCTCCACCGCAGTGCAACCACCCAGCGCCCCCTTCCCCCATGAACACCGCCCTCCAATCCCCAACGAACCCAGAACCAACCCAGCAACCACCCCCTCTCTCTCCGATTTCCCTTTGTTGTTCCAGCCCAACCCCCATCACCTCTCCCCTCTTCTCTCTCCTCCCCGACACAGCCCAACCCTCAAATCCCCAACTCATCCACTCGCCATGACCCTCCTCCAATCGGTTCTGGGATATGCGACACAGCCCAACCCAAAGATTACAGGGTAGACGGTGTTAAGGGGTTGAGGGTAGTTGATGGGTCGACCTTCCTGGAATCACCAGGCACAAATCCAATGGCCACTCTGTTGATGCTTGGAAGGTACCAAGGGATCAAAATTCTTGAAGATAGAAATTAATTATGCTTAAAACCCATCATATCCCAGAGTTTCATCAACTTGTATTTGCCAATTACCGTGTAAATATTTGAATAAAAAGTTTCAGTTTTTTTTTTATTGAAATTCACTCAAACAACAGAAAAAATAACCCCTTTTGAAAAAAATAAAGAATTGTGTGAACACTAGAGGTCAACTCCAAATTCGAAATTCTGCATAGCATTTAGATCTGTACATCATCAACTCACTTGGATATTCCTCCTTACCATCGTATCATGATAAAAGTTGAAAAAGGAGGCAAAGAAATTTGAAATACTATTTCACCGGATGAAACTTAAAGCTCCGAGCCTGTACAAATCACTTCCTAGTTCCTTCCTACAAATTTCTAAGAACAGAAGAAATCTTAAATTTTTTGTTTTCTAACTCTGCATTTCATCATGATCAGCTGCTGGGCTTGAAGAAGAATCACTGGCATTAAAATCACCTGAAGGTGTTTGCTCAGAATCCTCACTTGCTCTCTCCTCTCCTCCTAGCCCCAGCCACCCTAACCACCACCCAAGCTTACTCAGGCCACCCATCCCCAAATTCAGACGCTCCGCCCCCATTCCCAACCTCCCCCACCCCAACCCAGAAAAATTAAAAAAATAAAAAACTCAGGCCACCCATCGCAGGCATACAACCCCTCTTGTTCCAGCCTAACCCCCATCACCTCTCCCCTCTTCTCTCTCCTCCCCGACACAACCCAACCCTCAAATCCCCAACTCATCCACTCGCCATGACCCTCCTCCAATCGGTTCTGGGATATGCGATTTGGGGTTGGGGATGAGTTCGGTTTTTGTTCCTTCCCATCTTCAAGCTTCGGATTCACAATCACCCTGCAGTCAATATCATCCCAGATTTGGTCTCCAAATCCAAGCTCTACCATCCCCGATTTTCCCTAATCTCATGGCCATCATTGTCAGCAAGAACATGAAATTGATTCACTCCAGATCCATCATCCTTATTGTCAGCAAGAACATGAAATTGATTCACTCCAGATCCATCATCCTTTGCTGGGTTGGTTCTGGGTTCGTTGGGGGTTGGAAGGCGGTGGTCATGGGGGAAGGGGGCGCTGGGTGGTTGCGTTGCGGTGGAGGTTGGCTGTGGTATGTGTTTGAAGGTTAGGTGTTGGAGCTTCATCGGGAGAGGGAGAGGGAGGGAGGGAGAGAGAGAGAAATATATATATATATTTTTTGGTTTTTAATATTTTATTCATATTTTAATCAATTTAGAATTAAAAAATGTGAAAAATGTGGGATCCACAGTGCCACGTAGCCAACTAACAAAGAGATCTTACGAAACCCCAACGGCAGAGCTACATTGTAACAAATTTAAAAGATTGGGGTATGCGATTGTAAAAATTAAAAAGACGGGAAACTAACATGCCTTGATGATGTAAGAGAGCTACATTGTAACAAATTTAAAAGATTGGGGTATGCGATTGTAAAAATTAAAAAGACGGGGAACTAACATGCCTTGATGATGTAAGTACGAAGTACTAAACTGTAATTAACCCTTTGTTTTCACCCAGTTCACATTACTTTTTGACAAAAAACCAGTACTTTCCTGACTTCACGTGGCTTTTTTGGCCTTTTTTGTTTTGCTTTAACCCAGTCCACATTACTTTTTGACAAAAAACCAGTACTTTCCTAACTTCACGTGGCTTTTTTGGCCTTTTGTTTTGCTTTAATCAAGGAAGTGCATTATTGCCCCCACTTATGATGCAAATCTTTTCTTTGTGCATTATTGCCCCTATTCATAATGGAAAGCTATATGCTTTTCTGGTAGGAATTGGGATGCTTCTGGAATGTGGATCATCTACCACAGTCTGCATTTCGTGTGCTACCCTGTAAGATTGGTATTTTAATTTTGGCTTAATTATGTGCATGCTCTCTGTGTTTTCAAATTTATCTCAGATTACCACCTGTGTTTGCAAACGTCTCAAAGTACCCCCCCAATCTTTTAAAAAACCGTCTCACATTACCCATTCCGTCAATTTTTTTGATGTTCCGTTTTCTCCTCCTTCCCCCCCCCCAAAATCCAGAACTGCAGCCCCTCCCATTTGTTACTGTTTATCCGATCAGTTTTTGGGCCGCCATCTCCTCCTCCGGCCCACCCATGCGATGGCATGGGTATCAAAAGAACCAGCACGTTGTCCTCTACCATCCTCACATCTCAGCCGCTGCCAACCGCCGTCTGGATTGCCGGAAAAAGCAAGAAATTGGCCAGTTTTTACCCAAAATATCCATCGCTCGTTCGGGCGATTCCGAGCACCATTTGCTTCGATCCAGGTATGGTTTTTCAACCTCTCGAGCTGTTCTTGCTGCTAGTTGTGTTGGTTAGGAGAAATTTATGAGTTTTGGAGGGTAAATAAGCGATGAACAGTAACAAAAGGGAGGGGCTACTGTTCTGGAATTGGGAGGGGGAAGGAGGAGAAAAAAAAGAAGAAAAAACGAAGTGGGGCCCAACATTCGTAACGGAACGTCAAAAAAACTGACGAAACGGGTTACGTGAGACGGTTTTTAAAAAGTTTGGGGGTACTTTGAGACGTTTGCAAACACAGGTGGTAATCTGAGATAAGTTTGAAAGCACAGGGGGCATGTACATAATTAAGCCCTGATTCTAAACTACGGCCTCAAAAATGTAATTTAAGAAAGAAGGCCACTCTTAGTCAGATTGTACACTCAAACCAACAGTTTGTTTTCATGTTTTTCAAAATATCACCAATATTTTTACTTTCCAATATCTAAATCATATCCACTGTATGTGCAGTCTTATCAAACGAAAACATAATGAAGAAGTCAAAGAAGTGAGCACAACAACAATACAGAGACCGAGAAAATTACAAGAGATGAAGAACAAAAGTGGGTTCTTCCAACCACTAGAAAGAATCTCTCTCTTCTCAACCCAAATTCTCAATAGAGAATCCCCAATTACACCCATGACTCGCAGGTTCACAAGTCCTAAACCATACACCCTAAAATTAGGGGGGGAAAACAAGGGCTAACCGGCTAAAAAAAAGCTACAAAACAAGGTGGGAAAGACCAAAAAGAGCTACAAAATCATTTACAAGGCAACTTTAGAAAACAAAACTGCATCCGCGTGGCTCGAGCAGTTTTGCAACATCACGAAATCGTTCTCTCTGGACTGGAAAATGTAGCTGGAGAACTGGTGCATATCCACTCAATTGGATTTTCTGCAGAATATTCCCTCGCACTTTTCTTGAGCTGATTAAGCACTTGGGCTCCATGATTGAGCAAACTAACTTCTTTTCCTCGGCAAATTCACTTCTTTTTTATTTTTTACAAAAGTGAGCAAATCAACTCCACATGCTCCTCTTGATTGAGATGCAATGATCCCATCCTAGCACAGTTTGCAAAAATTTGAAGGTGCATTAAAAAACTGAAGTAATTTCCACTTAATAGAGTCTCCATAACAAACGTAGTTGCTTTATAAGGCCAAGTTGATGAGAAATTCAATTGGATCTGAGACACACTGGAAGAATTGAAAACTACTTAGAATATGATTACAAAATTTGAACCTGCAGATTATATCAAAATTATAAAAAATTATTTCGATTTAATGCTCATGTATTTTTGTTCTATTTATGTTCCTGTATTTGATTGTCAGGGTTAGGCGTTGACCACTTCTTTGCACGCTGGCTAGCTTTCTGAGCCTGCAAAATTGATCCAACAATATAAATATTGGATAGGAGAATAACGACACTTGGGCTAGCAAGCATTCAGAATAAGGAGAAGTAAATACAAATTCTTATACCTCCTTTTCCCAATCATGTCGTATTAGCACGATGGCCAAAATCACCGTTTGCACAGCAGTTCCACCAAAGATCATCCCACCGCATATACCCTGTTTTATAATAATTTGCACAAGCTAATCAATTATTTAAAATATAACTAGTCACTTTAATAATTTTACTCCGATCGTACTCTCTAGTTTTGACTAACTTTGAACATTTAATTGTTTTTTAATAAGACTGGATCATTATTCAGAAAACTAAATTCTACTTATGCATAGCTAGCATGTTGGATGATTTTTTTTTTTGGGTGAATTTGAGTATAAAAAAAAGACCTAGAAAGAGTTTAGCTAATCTATTGGAGATGCTCTTAATTGGCGCAATAACAAAGAGAAACATAGCGAAATGTACCAAAACACCCAAGTGGCGGATCCATCCCATTACAAACGCAAGTGGGAGCCCAATAATATAGTAGCAGAAAAGATTTATGTATGCAACCCATGCTTGCAATCCTGTGAACACAAAGACAATTGTTTTACTGATTTAATGGAAGAAAAAGAAAAACACTAATGTTCTGTTTGACAGTGATTTCGGAAGGGATAAAACACTTTCAAATAACCAAAAACACTTCTAACATCATTTCACATAAAAAAGTTAAAAGTATTTTTGGATTACAATAATATTTTCTAGTCATTTCAGGCAATGGAAGGTGCATTTTCAAGTTTTTCACGAAGCACTTGTATTTGCAATTAAACTTTAAAACAGTTATGAGTAGAAATGTTTTTTTTTTTTTAAATTTGGGTAAAGTACTAGCACCTCATAGAACCAATATTAAGGTTATACTAGGACTAATTTGTTGTTAATTAGGAGCTTCATGAATTCTCAAAATTAACCTGTCAGGACGGGTTGAATACTGTTAAGTAGAATTGCCATTGCCAAGAGATACGACATCTGATCAACTTCTTGGATGACATCAGTGCTGGATGTGAATATGTATGCAAACTTTTCATGGAGTATGATAGTAATTACACATACGCATAAACCGATGAAGACAGATTCTGCCATAGAAACCTTTGCTGCAAATTTAGTTGCCTTCCAGTTTCCAGCTCCCAACTCATTCGCCACTCTTACTCTGTGAATTTCATCATGACAAGATTTTCAGAAGGCTGCTAAAAAATTAATTAGAAAGAATTAACATGTTGAAACCTTAGTTAGTAAATTCACGTGTAATACTCCTATAACATGCATATGTACGTATCTTTGAGAAGAAGATAAATAGTGGAAAGAGGTCATAAAAATATGGTACCCTGTTCCAACCAAGAAGGCCCAATGAATCATGAGCTCCCACCCACTTATAGTCATGCTGCAAAATGGAATCCAAGCAATATCAGAAGGAAAAGTTAAAAACTTAAACCTAATTAGGTGTGGATTTTAAAAGATAAATGTAAGCAATATATATATATACTCCCGTTCACAGTCCCAAAGGTTCGGTCTTGTACCAAATTGTCAAGGCATCCACAGCAAGAGTTGCTTTCTCTAAGGATCCAGTCATTAGAATTAGGATTCTATAGCTCCAGAATTCCAAGCTGCAGGAATCAAAAGGTAGCATTATGGATATATATGTTTTGTACCCAATTTTGGTCAATGGACCAAAACTGGTTACCTTCCCAAAAAAGAGCATGGCAAGGGCCCAAGCCCAATAGTTGTCCATAGGTTAAAATTTTCAAGAACACCAAGACAAAAACCAAAGCCCAAGAGTAGAGGGCCCAAAGCGATTGGACTACTGAAAAATGGGATATCGAAAGATGTTCCAAACCCACGCGGAGGTGAGAAGGACCATCAACATTTAATGACGATTTGACTTTTCCCTCTTCCAGTAAGAAAAGCCAGCCGCCTAAGGAAGCCACCAAGCCAGGTAAGAAGCCAACTTGCACATCAAATCGCCAAGGATGAAAACGCCTCAGACCAGGAAACTAATTCGAAGGACCGACGGTTCTCGTCAGAAAGATCGATCTCCCCCTTTACGGACCAGTTCAGGACGTCAAATCAGCAAGCTGACTTTGGACAACAGCCAAATATCCTTGCTCAGTCATCATCACTTAAGACCTCTCCTGCTCCTATAAATAGAGAGCTTCCAGCACAGAAGAAGGGGACTCTCTCTCCAAAAACCAGACGCAACGTCTTAGAAAAGCACTCAAGGCATTCCAGTCATCTCATTCAGACTTCAGATAGCCAGACGATCTCTGTGTTCATCTTTTTATTTCTCTGCCATTTCCATGGTATGATTAACTTCTGAAAATGTTTAGTTTGAATTTGTATAATTTAGTCGGCTATGAACCTTAGATCACCGTGATAATGTA